TTTGATCTTATTCCCATAAACAATAGACAATCCAACAAACCCTCTTGGCTGAAAAAGGGATCTCTTTTTAGGTACTCTGCCACTTCCTCTTTGAAGCCATTATAAAATCTTCGGGGGGAGAAAAAAGGAAATTTTCTCTCCATGAAACAATGCAGTCATCTCAAATATCCCTTTCCTGTCAAATCCTTGAGCGTGTTTCTAAAATCTGTGCCCATCTTTTCCAAAACTCATGTCTGAGTTAGTAAGTTATCAAAATTAAGACCATATTTTACAGAGGTGGAAGTCTGTCATGCTAAGCCCTGTCTTTATGCATACAGCTGCAGGAAGTAAAACAAATGGAAAAGGAGAGACTTCGGCAACAGCACCATCTACAGCAACCCAGTGTGAACCAGTATGAACCTGAATCCCCACAACTGGGACGTCTTGAGGAGCGGCCTATTCCTGAGGTAGCACAGGTGCCTCAATTGGAATCAGGCCACATCGATGAAGTGGACAAGCATACTCAAGAGGATACAGAGCCAGAAAATGGAATTGACATTTGTGGCACAGAAAATGAACAAACAGAAGTTGACCAGGCCACAGCAGCTAAAAGTAAATAAATTTCTTTACAGGTTTTATATATGGAGTTTATGACTTAGGAAAGAAAACATTCATTTAAACAAATATTTATTTCATTGTTCTTCAGGTACAGACTATATGGTCAGTAAACTTTGGTGTTTCTCAGTTCAGTTTCCATATATGGTAGAATGTTGGCCACTGCTTCCTTTGAAAATAATTCTGCTGAGCTTGATTAGCATGCCTTGCTCTTATTTGTATTTCATATTCTTTGCTTCCATTATCAGCAACAGATCCCTGTAGCATTTCATGCAAGGGAGTAATCTGAATAAGCACTTAATTTTTTGCAATTTCTGTTCAAAATCTGTTGAAAGATGATACTGCTAGCCAGAATATCAAAAAATAAAAAATCTTGCTGCAGGTGCAATCAGTATAATGAAAAATTAGCTTTTGTCAAATAAAGTTTTCAAGATGATTATTTTAAAAGCTGGCAATGCAGGATCTTGCACTTGGTCACACAGCTGGAAGGGTGCATCACTGTTTGCTTGTTGTCTAGCCGTCCATTGGTTTTAAGTCAATTTTACCTTCTGGCCCAATCATGCACAGGTTGCTGACCAAGACAAGCAGTTATCTTCAGATTTAATTCTGATGTGGAACTCCAGCTAGAAGTGTGACAGTGTCAGGATTGTTTTCAATTTTAACCACAGACTGGCCCTGGTTATTTACATAATGATTGTATCTTCAGCTCTTGGGAACCTTTACCAGCATATTTCAGTTGAACAGGCTTTGATCACCTCCCTATCAGCAGTATGGAGCCTTGATTCAAGTGTGATTGAGACCCAGCTTAACTTTTCCAAGGAATTTAGTTATTTCAGTACCATTGATCTGGATTATTACATCATGATGGACTGAGTTGAGGATTAAGGGACTGGACTTCTTTTCAAAGGCTTGTTCCAAAACTTAACCATAGCACTTATCTAAAAAGACACTTACTAAGTACAAATCCATTAAATTCAGTTGAACTGTTTCACAATTAGAGTGTGTGCTTCAGTTACTACTTGCAGCAAGCAAGGGCATTGTAAACTGTAGCAGTTCTGCTAGCCACATCTTCTGAAGTTTTTAATTTCACCACCCAAATAGGAATCATGGTGACTACCAGCAAAAAAAGCTATGTTCCATTCAGTTGCAGTGGTTCCTAGACCAAATAGGAAATATTATCTGGTCCAAATGGCTCATGTTTTCAAAACCACTTGGTGGATTTTTGTGTTTACAGGTCCAAATAAAAGCGAGTTAGTCACAAATTTGTGCAGCATTACACTTGTTGATCATAAAGTTGTCAGAGTAACTTCCTTTGGAGTAAATGAACAAATACATCTTGCCTGCTCCAAGGTTCATTAAATCATGCTTTGCAAGACACCGCAAGTCCTGTTATATTGGTTCTTACCAAATTGTTGTGAAGAATCAAGTAGATTTCTGGCAGTAGCTTATTATTGGTCAAGTAGGAAAATTATTCTAAGTTTTGCTGAAAAGACCCTCAATAAATAAATTAGGATGGCTACTGAGGTAAGGATCATATTTTTTTGTCCAATATTTAGAAGGGAATGATGGAGTTTGGTACTGTGTGTTGTTTCATTTTTAAGATGAAGACTTGGTCAAATTTGAAATTCAGCAAAAAAATACAATCAAACAATCTTATTAAAGCTTAAAGATGTCACAGATTTGGGGCTCTCTCCAAATGCATTGCTGAACTTTGTTACATGAGTTTCTGCAATCAACTGTTTCTGACTGTAATTACTTGAAGGGAGGATGCATTTTATTTTGATCTATGAAACATTTAGAAACTGCAAACCTCTGTGATCTAGTGGCCAGCATTTATTGCCCATTTCAAATTGCCCTCAAATCGGTGGTGATGAGTTGATTTTTTTTTTCTTTTGGACTGTTGCAGTCCAAATGACTGTGAAAGAATGATGATATAGTTCCAAGTCAGATGATATGTGACTTGAAGGAGATTTTGCAGGTGATGTATGCTTTCATAGCTTTTCAAGTTATTCATGTTGATATTCGAGAAGCTGATGTCTCTCGGGAAGGTGGCAAACATCTTGACTGTTATTGGTGCGGTGACATTCAGGTAAACAAGAGGATGTTCCATCACACTCCTGACTAACACCTTGTAGACATTGAACAAGCTTTGAGGAGTCAGCAAGGGAGTTATTTGCCTCAATTTCCAATCTTTAACTTACTCCTGTAACCACAGTGTTTAGATGTCTTATCCATTTCCCATCAATGATGATTCAAGGAAGTTGATATTGGGGGAACTAAGTGGCAGTAATGCCATTGGTTGTCAAGAGAAGATGGTTAGATTTTTGCTTGCTGGAGATGATCATTACCAGGCACTTGATTAGTAAAACTCTTGTCTGTCATTTATGAGCCCATTTATGAATGTAGTCCAGGACATGCTGCTTGTAAACATGAATTACTACAGTATCTGAGGAGTTGTGAATTGCACTGAAGACTGAAAATGGTGTATCCATCAATGAACATTCCTACTTCTGACATTATGATTGAGGAACGTTCATTATTAAGGCAGCTGAAGATGGTTCTGCCTAGCACTCTCCTCTGATGAATTGGGCCTTTGAAGCAACTTGTTGGACGTGCCATCAAATGTTTAAGGAGCCTTGTGACACAGTGGTGTGGTCCTACCTCTGAGCCAGGAGGCCTGGTTTCAAATCCTACCTGCTTCAGAATGACATGGTTGAACATGTTGATTAAAAAATATCTAAGAGTACTGAGGAATTCCTGTTGCGATGACCTGGGGCTGAGGTGCTTGGTCTCCAACAAGGAGAAACATCTGCCTTTGTACTTGCTATGAATCTAACCCATGGGATTTTTTTCTCCCCCGATTCTCATTCACTTCAATTTTGTTAGGGCTGCTTTATGCTACACTCAATCAGATGCTGCCTTGATATCAAGGATAGTCACTTTCATCTTGCCTCCAGAATTCAGATTTTTTTTTCCATGCTTGGATCAAGGTTACAATGAGATCAGGAGCCCTGGTGGAGTCCAAGCTGAGTGTGGTGAGCATTATTTCTTTTCAGTGTTATTTGAAAACACTGTCAATGACACTTTACATCATATTGCTGATAATTGAGAGTAACTTGACAGGACAGCAATTGGACAAATAAATGAGTACATCTACCTTTTGTGGAAAGCTCACATCTGGGTAATTTTCAATCTTCACTTTATCCAGTAGATGTCTGTGGTGTACCTGCATTGGAACTGCATGACTTGCAGGACTAAATCTGAGTTGTCACGACTGCTTCCAATGCCTTCAGTCTTTTCTCGATATCTGCCAGTGGAGGATTGTGCCATTTATTTTAGCACATATAAATATTGGATGAAGAGAATTTTTAAGAAAGTTATAACTCAGTCTAAGTGAGCTGGTATTCAATTTTTGGGCCAACCTGGATTTCTTGAGGGTGTCTTCAAGGCAGCCATGTAAAGAGTCAGTGTCCTTTTTCTCAGATATAATATGCTGTTCTGAGTATTTGGGGCAACAAGGGATTTGCTACAAGCTGCTGTAAAGATGGAAATCCTCAAAAACCCAACTAGAAACTCTTTCACTGCATTTTTTATACACACAGGATTGAACACAGGAAGAAGTTTTAATTATTTAATTTCAACGCTGTTCTCATTTTGTTTGAAATACAAGCTATGCATACAAAATTCATTCTGCATTTTGGAACGCATTATTTCTTTATGTGACCAGATATAACTTTCCCATTTTCCTATTATTTCTGGTTTTCAATGCTCTCTTATTTTCAAGATCCTAATCCTGCTTTCTTGGGCTAAAAGTCTAAAGTGATTATTAAAACAGTAGGAGAATAAAACATAAAAGCTCAATTGGACAGTTTCTTGAAGAGCAAGTACTCAATCTTTTCTCAAGGTTGATGGACTGCATCCTAACATATATGGAAGCTGAACTTAAAGATTAAAAAAGACTATCCTGAAGGTATGATCCTTTATTGTTTTGTCTGAGTTTTTTACAATATTAAGATCAAAAAACATTACATCAATGATAAGTCAATCATGAAAATGTATTTGGCGGTGGAAAGAGCACTTCATGATGTTTTGAATATATTCAGAGATTAATGGAATTTCTGCCCATATGTTTTAAATGAATTATCATAGTAAAGCAAAAAGATATTCGTAAATTAAAAAAATCTAAACCACTAATAAGTTCCATGAGGTATGCTTCGAATGTTCTTAAAATGATTTGATTTATCATCTTTACCAGTAATTGATGCACTGTGCCTGTGGAGAAAATCTGGTTCTTTACTTCACTTAATGCTACAATACATTAATTCATTGTGGAAGCTTCAGTTCTTGTGAATTAGTCTGAGAAGACTCAGGAACTTTGTGTCTTCACTGTGTCTGCCACGGAACTCGACGCATCCTGCTCCATGATTACTTCTTTCAAATAGAAAATTGTAGGAGGTGTATGTCTGAATTCCGGTTATGTGTTTCCAAAATACAAAGTTATATGTTGATAAAACTGCTGGAAAATTTATTACCATTTCCCAATCTTAGAGGGGATCAAATCTTGAATTTGGGATCCAGAAATCTCTTGTAGACAATTACAGTTTATGTTCAAATAACTATTTTCTGCCTAAGACTTGTGACCAATGTAGTTTTTACTGCCTGTACTCTCACTGAAGAGTTCGACAGTGGGAGGTTTTGGAATCCTATTTAGGTGACTTCTATTAGAAATGAATAAAATACAATAGTTCAATTGAAAATCTTGAGGGAAAAGTGGAGATCTAATCCAATAACCTGAATGGTAATCCTAGATGATGTTGCTTTCTTCATGCACCACTATAATGTCTGTTGTGTTAATTTCGCAGTTTTCTTTGTAAATTTGTTGAATAGGAGACATTTCCTTTGATGTCAAAGCTGCTGCTCAACTTGACTTGGCCTGTAAATTCTCTTGTTCATGTTGCTAAGATTTTATAATGGAGATATTTGTCTGTTGGTCTTGCATTTCTCATGTGAAGGGACTTGGTCAGCTCAGTTGGCTGGACAGCTAGAATGAGGTCAACATCATGAGTTCAATTCCTGTACCAACTGAGGTTACCATGAAAGTTTTTCTTTCTCAACCTCTCCCCTTGTCTAAGGTGTGGTGACACTCAAGTTAACCGCCAGCAGTTATTTCTCTCTAGTGAGAGAGCAGCCCTGTAGCCCAGAAGGGCTATGCCTTTACTTCTCATGTTTTCCTCATTCATCGGACCTCCAAAACCTCCACCTGCACAACTTTGATGTACAATTTAGAAAAGGAATTGAATATTGTACTGGTAGCATATGAATATATATTTACTGTGGCCCAGATTTTGTCATATCAACAACAATGAAACCGTTAATGCTCACTGTTGTTAAGGACTAAATGGACAGAAGTTATTCAACATCTCGTGCAGTTAAACATAGAAATCAGCAAGTTTGTGTCAATTTTCTTCCCCTTCTTCAATAATTTCTCCACTTAGTCATTGAGTCACACAGCACGGAAAGAGACCCTTTGGTTCAACTCGTCCATGCCAACCAAGTTTCCCAAACTAAACTAGTCCCACTTGCAGTACATATCCACTAAATACCCAGTAAATTGCCTGAAAAAAGTACATTTATATCTGATATTTTAATAGTGTGATAACTCCTGCTGCCAACAATTTCTCTCGAACACAAAATTTAGTTTTATTAGCGTGGAGTCTGATTATTTAGATTTTAATTTTCATTGAAGATTTTAATATTTTATAAAATATTTTATTTGTCTAATTTTTCTAATCCCATATCCCTCTTTGTCTTTAATATTACATCTCCCAAATATGGTCTTAAATGAGATGCTCTAACTTTTACTTCCTGGAAAAGTTTGCACACTTCAGTAAGCATACTTCAGTCTAATGTGTTGAAGAGGCATATAGGTTCCAGGTTATGTGCTATAGCTGACTCCTTACGTGCTGTACGAAAGCCTCCTATAGATGTAAGGCGCAGCGCTAAGTGTAATGATTGATGAGCATTCGCTGCTGTCAGCAAAAGCCAGTGCACTAGTTGCCTGAACTCTTCATCTGGTCTTTAGTGAAATTATGTAACTGAAGATGAGTGAAAATTACACCCAATGCAATCAATTTCTTATAGGAAAAGGAGGAATATGCCTTAAAAAGGTTTTCTCCAAAGGCACTTCATATGCATTAAACGTTTTGGTTTAGCAAATTAACGTAACTGAAAGTGTATTCTGTGTATCATACTGGTTACCGATATCACTATTCTATTCCTTAAAGCATATGTGTATAGAATTTAAACATTATTGAAATTTCATAGCATAAAACCATTCTCAAAACATCATTTTCTATTATTTGAGATAAAGTTGAGGCATGTTTTATTCGTGTTGTTTTCTTTATTTTAGTCCTGGCTGGCGGATTTGTTCTGAGCATTTTATATTTTGTCCTTACACAAGGTTTTTCAAAAGGGATTGCAGGCAGAAGTGATGGGGAGGGTCTTGAATTTGAGGATAATGTACATGAAATTGTACAGAACATTCTACAAGAGTTGGTGACCACTGTTGTTGGAGGTAGTGTACTCATTTTCATCTGTTCATTTAGCTTCATGATTTTTCTGTGCATGTGTTAATCCTCATGACATTTTTTGCTTTTCCGTGATTTTCTTTGATCTCATGAGATTGTTTTTTCCCCTTATAACCGGCATGAGCTTTAATTTGGTTAGTAGAGCTACAATGTTAATAGCTTGTCATCGGTCCTTTTAAACTTCTTTTGTTTGCAGTTGACTATACGTTTTACAAATCTAGTCACAGACAAATTGGCAGCAGGTTGTGCGTTGCCATTACGTAATCAGTAAAGTTCAATCAATACAATAATGTAATACTGCACCACAGAAATGCCATCTGCTGTAAACAAATTAAAAATTTAGGGCAGCAAAAGAATTATGGCACAGAACTATCAGGGAATTTACGTAATGCAGAATTATTTTTTAGAATTTGCCATTATGCAGTGGGAGCAAAGGCAAGTTACAAAGAAAATGGGATAAATATTTCAAAACAAGTTTCAAACATAAATGACATACAGTATCACTTTTATCTACCAGTTTGCAGAGCTAACTGAATCTTATGAGTCTTGAATGAGTTAAATAATGATACATTATATATTGAAATTATTGCAAATATCAACTCATCATCTTGATGCTTGATTTTTCATGTTGGATTTAGAGATTTTTCTTCCACGACACAATTAATGCAATATTTGGTAATCTCTTGTTTTCCAAGGTGCCAATGAGAAAATCTAGGTAAACAAATAGATCAAATTTAGGACAACTTTATTTTTTTTGCAGTAACATACAAGATGCATTCTGCAGGCTAGTCCAACATTTATTGTCCATTCCTATTTGCTCTGGAGAAGGAGGTAGTTAACTACCTTCTTGGAACACTGTAGTCCATATGGTTAGCAACACACACAGTTCTGCCAGGAAGGCTGTTCCAGGACATTGACCCAGCAACAGTGCAGGAATGGTGTTATGGTTCCAAATCAGAATGGTGTGTGGCTTGGAAGGGGAATTTGAAGGAAGCAATGTTCCTTTGCAACTGCTCCCCCTCTCCATCTAGGATTGTAGAAACAGGATCAGGAGTAGGCCATTTTGTGTCTCTGGCCTGTTCCTCTATTCAAAGCAAACAAGGCCAGTCTGTGATGTAAAGTTGTCAATTGCCTCGTGCAACTTAATGCTTTTGGTTAACAAAATCATATCAGTCTCTGATTTAAAATTGAGTTGATCAAGTATCTATTGCCATTTGTTGCAAAATTCCAAGTGTTTTCTTTCCTTTCATGGAATATGGATGTCCTTGGCAAGGCCAGCCTTCATTGCCCATCCCAAACTGCCCTTGAATTGTGAGCTTACTCAACCATTTAAGGAGACAGTTAAGAGGCAACCACGTAATTATGGATTGCGTATCATTAGTAAGCCAGACCAGGTAATGATGGCAGTTTCTTTGCCTGCAGAACGTTAGTGAACCAGGTGGTTCAAAACAAGACAATGATTCCATAGTCACTACTAACACAAGATAAGTTTTTGATACCATACTTTTCCAATTCAGTTTAAATTCCACCAGCTATCATGGTGGGATTTGAACCTGTGTCCTTAAAGTATTAGCCTGGTCCCCCTCTTGATTTGATATCCAGTGACATTACTGCTACACCACCATCTCTTCATTTTCTGTGTAGAAGTGCATCTTATTTTGATTCATAAAAGATCTGGCACTAGTTTTTAAATTATGCCCCTAGTCCCTCTGAATCAATGGAAATAGGTTATTTATCTCTAACCTATCTACTGTCCTTTAATATCTTGGAATATGCTATGACATTACCATGTAAGCATCTAAATTCCCAGGTATACAATCCTGATTTATGTAACCCTTGCTCATAGTTTAACTTTTGAAGTCCATATCTGTGCTATGTTCCTTTCAAGACAGTATACCTTTCCTAAGCTGTTGTGCACAGAACTGATCTTAGTACAGTAGGTGTGGTCTAACCAGAGTTTTGGATATCTGAGTCCTGTTATTTTAACCCATTATGAACAAGTCTATGCCAACTGAGATTTGTACTCATGAGGTACTAGCCTTCTGTGTTCTATTTTCTCTGCTCTTAATGCCGAAACCCTCTACCTCGCAAAGTAGTCGAGGTGGAGTTATAGAATGATTTTAACAGAGGTGTACATAGTTTCTTGTTCAGTGAGGGAATCAAAGGCTACCAAGGATAGTTGGGAACGTGTCCAGTCCACCTGTCATTATGCACTCTCATAATTTCCTGACAATAAATGTTCATCAATTGGTCTATAATTCCCCAGTTTCACCCTCTCCCCTTCCTAATTGAGGACAGGTACAAATTTATAATTTAACTGAATGATTTCCAAATGGACAGAACTTTGGATGCTTATCAGTGCATCCGTAATGATCTCACCTCTTTGCCCTGAACTTGGGACCCTTCTAGTCCTTTTGGATTAGTCACTCCTTACTGCCATTTTCATTACTATGGATTTGCTGACATTAATTTTTGTCAATTATTGTCCCTGCTTCAGTAATTGTTTTATTATCATATCCAGCATCACGATCTCTTACTGTACTGTATCTTCTGCTATAAAGTAAATATTTAGTACCAAGAGAGATAGTAGGAACTGCCGATGCTGGAGTCTGAGATAACAAGGTGTGGAGCTGGAGGAACACAGCAGGGCAGGCAGCATCAGAAGAGCAGGAAAGCTGACGTTTCGGGTCTGGACCCTTCTTCAGAAATGGGGGAGGAGAAGAGGACTCTGAAATAAATAGAGAGTAGGAGCATGCGGTGATAGAAGGTGGATAGTGGAGCAGGTAGGTGGAGAGAAGACGGACAGGTCAAAGAGGCGGGGATGAAGCCAGTAAAGGTGAGTGTAGGTAGGAAGTTGGGATGGGGGTTGGTCAGTGAGGAGAGAGGGACGGATAGGTGGGAGGGAAGACGGATAGATGAAGGAGGCGGGGAAGCGGGTGTGCTGGTCTTGGGATGAGATCGGGGGTGGGGAGATTTTGAAGCTCGTAAAGTCTACATTGAGACCATTGGGTTGTAGGGTTCCAAGGCAGAATATGAGGTGCTCAGTTTTCAGGTGGCATCATTGTGACACTGGAGGAGGCCTAAGATGGACATGTCGTCCAGGGATTGGGCGTGGGAGGGGGAGTTGAAGTGGTTCGCGACTGGGAGGTGTTGTCGTTTGTCGCGAACCGAGCGTAGGTCCTCCACAAAGCGGTCTCCGAGCCTCTGCTTGGTCTCCCCGATGTAGAGGAGGCCACATCGGGAACAGCGAATACAATAGACCACATTAGCAGATGTGCAGGGGCAGGTGGTGGCCAGGCAACGTTGCCCACATCCCACAAAAGAAATTTTAAAAAAATCATTGCCCAATCTAATATTCTGTGCTCCTTAGACATATTGCAGGAAATTATCCAAGACCCATCGATGACCTTCCCTCCATCATCAGGTTAGAAGTGGGGATATTCGCCGATGTTCAGCACCATTTGCACTCCTCAGATACTGAAGCAATCCGTGTTCATATGCAACAAGATCTGGACACTATCCAGGCTTGGGCTGACAATTGGCAAGTGACATTCGTGCCACACAAATGCCAGGCTATGACCATCACCAATGAGAGACAATCTAACTGCTGCCTCTTGACATTCAGTGGTGTTATCATCCCTGAATCCACCACTATCAACATCCTGGGGGCTGTCATTGACCAGAAACTCAACTGGACTCACCACATAAACACACTGGCTGCAAGAGCAGGTCAGAAGCTCAGAATACTGCGGCGAGTAACTCACCTCCTGACTCCTCAAAGCCTGTCCTCCAACTACAAGGCAAAAGTCAGGAGTGTGATGGAATACTCTCCACTTGCCTGATGAGTGCAGCCCCAACAACACTCAAGAAGCTTGACACCATCTAGGACAAAGCAGCCTGCTTCATTGGCAGTACATGCATAAACATCCACAAGCATCCAGTCCCTCCACCACTGACGCTCAGTGGCAGCAGTGCGTTCTATCTACAAGATGCACTGCAGCAATTCACCAAAGATCCTGAGACAGCATCTTCCAAACCTATGACCACTCCCATGTAGAAGGATAAGGGCAGCATACATATGAGAGCACCACCACCTTCACATTCCCCTCCAAGCCATTCACCCTCCTGACTTGGAAATATATTGCTGTTCCTTCACTGTTACTGGGTTGAAATCCTGGAATTCCCTCCCTAATGCATTGTGGATCAAACTACAGCAGGTGGACTTCAGCGATTCAAGAAGGCAGCTCACCACCACCTTCTCAAAGACAATTAGGGATGGGCAAGAAATGCTGGCCCAGCCAGCAACGTCCACATCCTACAAAAATGAATAAGGGAAAAAAAAATTCACTATGTTCTTTGATGTGCTGCTCTGCTTGCCTCAATTAAATCAAAGTTAAAATTCACTATTGAACCAGTTTTCCTTTGCTATATGTTTGTTTAATGTCTGCATTTAGACAATATGCTACTTCACAAAAACACTTAAGGACTTATCTACAGTTTGCACAACAGGCTTTCTCTATTTGTTAATTTTACATGTACATTCTCCATTGTTTCCTCCTCAGAGGATATCATGAGTTATTTCATCATTAATCAGCAAGTTTCCACTTCCCATTCTATCATGTTGCCCATCTTTCCTGTACATCTCATCTTCTGATATATTTAGTTTTCAGCTGTGACTGTCTTGCAACCATGTTTCCATAAAGCTGTCATGTCAATTTTGCAAATCATTCAGCTTATTTGTGTGAAGATCACTCATATGGCCTATGCAACCTAACCTGTTCTTCTAATTTAATGTTTTGCTTAGGTTTTTTTGTTTCTCTCTGTTTAATTGTTTTATATTATGGTTTTCCTTTTTATTACTTGTGCCTGAAGCATGATTTTTAACTGCTGATATACTCTCTGCTAGTCTGTTTGTTTTCAGGCTGTTAATATACTGTTATTTCACCTAAGCTCCCTTCTCCACTTAGTATTCCAAAGTATTTGTGATGGCCATGTTTATCATTCCTGCTCAAACCCTGGTCCCAGCCTTGTTCAGATGATGCCAGTTCTAATTCTATAGTTCTTTCCTATTCTAATACTGGTGCCTGTGTCCCATGAAATGGAATTCCTCTTTCCCACAGTGGTTCTTGAGACACATGTTCATTTTGCTAAACTACCTGTTTATTTTGCTTGAGGTTAAGTAATAGTCCAGAGATTATATTGTTGTATGTACTCGTATAACAGTCAATGTTGAGTAAAAATCAATCCTTGACTTGTAGCCAAAAAAGTCATTAATTTTAATAAATTTAATGTATAGGTTAACCACTGATTTTTATCCAAAAAACCTAAACTCCTTATATTTGCCATCCTTCAGCCACTGAAGGCAAACTTTCACTGGTGCAAGCTTGCTTATGATATATTCATTGAATAGCATAGTTTCCTCAGACTTCAACAAGGCTTTTGATAAGCTCCTGCACAGGAGATTGATAGTGAAAGTAAGAGCCCAGAGGATCCAAGGACATCTGGTTAATTGGGTCCAGAATAATCTGAGTGGCAGGAAACAAAGGGTGATAGTCAAGGGTTGTTTTTGTGACTGGAAGCCTGAGTCCAGTGGAGTTCTGCAGGGATCAGTGTTGGAGCCTCTTGGGCCCTGTGCTACTTGTGGTTTATAAAAGACAGTTTAGACTTGAATATAGGAAAGTTGATCAATGAGTTCACAGATGATAGGAAAATTGGTGGGGTGTTAAGTAGTGAGGAAGACCTAAACAAGCTGAACTGTGTCAAATGGGATTTAATCAGATAAATGTGAGGTAATGCACTTGGGCAGGACATAAAAAGCAAGGGAATACATCGTGAGCGGTAGGACCTTGGGAAGCACTAAGAATCAGAAGGACATTGGTGTGTATGTCCACCAATTTCTTAAGGCAGCAGGACAGATAGATAAAGTGGTTAAGAAAACATTTGGTATACTTGCCCCCATTAGCCAAGGGTTAGAGTTCAAGAGCAGGGAGGTTAACAGGGCGCGACCTGTTTAGTTTGTTAGGCCACAGCTAGTGTGCAGTTTTGGAATCCACATTACTGAAGAGATGTAATTGTGCCGGAAAAGGTGCAGAGATTTACCAGGATATTTCCTAGTCTGGAGAGTTTTAGTTATGAAGAGAGATTAGATAGATGGGAACAGAGAAGACTGAGGGGGTGGGGTCATGGTTGAATTGCATAAAATGGTGAGGGGCATATACAGAAACTTTTCCTGCTGATGGAGGGATCAATGACCAGGGTGTGTAGATTTAAGGTAAGGGGCCGTAGATTTAGAGGGGATCTTTTTTCATCCAGAGGGTGGTGAGAATCTGGAACTTGTTTCCTGTAAGGGTGGTAGAGGTAGAACCCTGCACTTAAGACATTTAAATAAGTATTTAGATGTACACTTGTGATGCCAAGGCATAAAAGGCTGAGCCAAGTGCTGAAAAATGAATTAAAATAGATAGTTGGCTGTGACTCGATGGGCCAAAGGGCATTTTTCTGTTGTGTGGACGAGTAAGACTCAAAAAGTCAACCCGGTGCATTCTGGTTGAAAAATTAGACTTGTTAGCATGGCGTTTATACAGTATATATACAGCAGTTCTGAAAATGTTGCTTTCTAATGTAGCTCCAATTCCAGAAACCCTATGAACTAATCTTTTGCCTAGCCCACTATATTGTTGATCCCACCATAGATCACAGCAATTGGATCCTTCCACTTCTATCTCCAATATCCTTTCAATCTTACTTGAGTTGTCTTTCATCCCTATACTAGGCAAGCAACACATCATTTGAAACTCTGGATTCTTTCACAAATTGACTGCTCCACAACTGGCATGTTAATCTTTCTCCACCTGCTCCTTTTCCTCTATTTCCTTTCCCCTTTAGTCAGCCTCCTGCCAAAGATGCTCAGGTCACATTTCAGTTGCCCTTCTTACAGTCTTTATCCTTATCCTCTCCAGACAGAAAGCATCTTGTCCCTGCTGCATTCTCTGTGACAACATTCTGACCAATGTATACTTGCATTGGAGACATGACAGCAGAGGTTTACTCGGGTACTAGGGGTAAGAGAGAAGGCAACTGATGGGTGGGGGTGTGTTTTGGGGGGTATTGTCTTAGGATAAGTGGCCAAGTGGTCAATCATTTAGGACTGAGATGAGGATAAACAAATTCAGTTAAAGCATTCATAGTTCATAAAATATCTCTAGTGTGGAAACAGGCCCTTTGGCCCAACAAGTCCACACCGACCCACATAACATCCCACCCAGACCCATCCCCCTAATCTACACATCCCTGAACACTACAGGCAATTTAGCATGGCCAATCCACTGAGCCTGCACATCTTTGGACTGTGGGAGGATACCAGAGCACCCAGAGAAAGCCCCCACAGACACCGGGAGAATGCACAAACTCCACACAGACAGTCACCCGAGGGCAGAATCAAACCTGAGTCCCTGGCACTGTGAGGCAGCAGTGCTAACCACTGAGCCGCCATGCCGCCCTGAGTGTGTGAAACTAAAAAATTCTCTACAACAGAGAGTTGTGAATGTTCCATCAGGGAATAAATTTAATGCTTGGAAAGACAGATTATTGATGTTTTGGAATCAAAGGATATGCAGCGTGTATGGCAGTGTGCAGTAAGAAGCCAAAGGTCATCCATTATTGCATTAATTGGAGGAGCAGGCTTGGTAGGCCATATAGTATACACTTGCTCCTTATTCTTGTGTTCCTTGGTTTACATTGAATTGCTTTAGACAATGGTCCTTCGATCTTTGGCAATACTGCATAGCTTGTACTGTTCCCGCATAGCTGCCACTTTCTGAAGTGTTATAGCAAAAGTGTTCTGATACTCAAAGCTAGCAGTTTGTTGCAGTGTTGCCATCTTTGTCTTTAGTGGAAATTAGTGGCTCAGTTGCAATAACACTTGTACCTTTTTTTGCAGGTGGTTTCTTTGGCAATACAAATCCTCGTGTGTGTGTGTATATGTCAAAAATCTGTAACAGCTGACAGGTGGTTTGAACACAAATGTCAGTTTTTGGGAGAAGGTCATATTTATTATCCAAGTTGTGTGGTATTGTACATTAGCAAATATGGTGGTGGATAGATCATCAATTGAAATTTTACATTACTGCAGCCAGTTTCATAAGTAACTTTTGATTATAGAAAGCATCCTGTATCTGCAGAAACAGACTTCAATCAGTACAAATTTCTGCCTATTAGAAAGAAACTTTTCATGTTATTGAGGTTTGAAAATGCCTACACTTAATGTTCTATAGTAACTTTGCAAGTTACAATTTGGCTGTTGTGTGGTGTTTTCCAAAGTCCACCTTTCCAGATGGTACAAGTTGTCAGCACAGCTTTGTTTTTGAAGCAGAGGAAAATCTGTTTTATCCATTCAGAATTTAGGAACATAAGTATTTGTGATATAATTTTAACTTGAGCAATGGAGAGCTAGTGTTGTAGGTAAGGGATTCAGTCTTAATATTTTGCCAAATAATTTGTTTGTTTTATTTTTGATTTTGTACCCCGCTGTTTTCTTCCTTCCTTTAAAGGACCTCTCCCTACCACACATCTGGGAGGATGGGGCGATGTGGGCTGTGGACCTCCCCACTACCATCCTCAATGCTGCTGTGATTGGCCTGTAAAAAGTGCAATTGAAGGTGGGTGAGGCAGTGCCAGTTTTTCCTACCCGTCCTTCAAGAAAATGTTTTAGGAAGAAAATCTGAGCCTGAAACTCATCCACAGATTTGAGTAAAAGGCAGCAGCCTTCAAACCATGAAATTGTGTTTGCTGCTCTTGACCTTGAGTTGGATTTTAGTTTATTGACTATTTTTGAAAGTTTTATTTGTGGTTAGCTTAAATATTTAGAATTGCTTTAAATTGTTTCACACTATTTTAGCATGTTTTAAATTTTATTTTTTAATCTGCATCTGATCTTTGAAGTTAAGTATACATTGTTACTAATTTTAGTACTAAACAGTAATTTTGTGTATTACAGTTGCTCACTTGCTAAATTCGACAGACATGAACTTTCGTCGAAGTGGTGCCCAATGTTTGAAAAGTCTTGTTTTGTGAAGTGTTTTACTGAAATTCTTATCTTCCAAATTCAGGAGAGAAGCCAGGTGGGAATGGTTCGCCTGAAAGTGCTACTGGTCCCCTAGAAGATGAAACTGTGGCAGTGAATGACGCAGACAATGTTCATTCTAATGGAATTCCAGGGACTCCAATCTCTGTGTCATATACCCCATCATTGACTGATGACAGATTGTCAGTTTCATCCAGTGACACTCAGGTGATGTCGAATAAAAGAGATTAAATTCATCCCTTTTTATAATACTTACGATATATATTGACTTTTTAAATTAATATTTTGGAGCACGTTGTTGTATTTTGCTTTGTGATAGTTTAAATTAGTCAAGTATCAACTTTGAATCGATGGTAGAAAATAGATTTCTGATTTATAAAACCACTGGTGTCCTGCCAGTTTTCCAGTACCCAAATCTGTCCACTTTAGAAACTTAACAGTATGTGGCTAATTAGCCATATGGAAGTACAGGACTCTAGTATTGTTGAAAAAGACCTGTTTTGTTGAAGCTTTTTGGCTTACACTGTTGAGATCAATTTGCAAAAATTACCAAGGTAAAACAACATGGATAATATATGAGAGGACATTTCTCAGGGCAATTCCTTTACAAATCAGTTGTTATGGACCAGACCAGACCCCCTCAAAATATATTAAGAAGATATCTTAGACCCTAACTTTTTCTTATTTTAATGGTAAATGTGAGGTGCTGTGTTCCAGATGCAATTCGATTGGTCAAA